CCTTGGGCGCGGTTTAACGTGAGGGTGACCCTTGAAGCTAAAACCCTATACCCTAGCTTGGCTGCGCTCTGCTTTTAGGACTTTTCCTGATGGTTGTATCCTAGCTGTGCCTACTGTTGGTGTGTGGTCTGCTTGAATTCTATAGCCTATTCTCTGTTGGGGGTAGGAGGTTGGGGTACCCCTTCTATTTGTTCTTGCAGCTCCCTTTTTACTAATGCGACTCACATACAAGGCTGGCCACGTTGATGGTGGTTGAGCGCCAGCTGCCCACACTAAGTGTGTGTGCGTGTGTGTGTGGCCTACCACTAGCGTGCATGTGTCGTGTGCTTGCAGAGTCCAAGTCTGTGTCTGTTTGCTAACTCTGTTGGCTGTGTGTGTGGCTGTGCCTCAGACAGGGACGAAGTAGGAGTAGGGTGACGGCCAGAGAGTACTGAAAGTTATCAGGAGGATATGCTGGGGGGTAGTTTAGCACCCAGGGATTGGCTAGGGACCCTGTAGGATTTCCCAGGAACTTGAGTAGACCCTGTAGTCAGGTCGGCTTATCAGAGGTCCAGTAGCTGTCAAAAACAATCCATAAATATTCAGCCCGTACCTAGTTACAGGTTAGGCTAGATACAGACCCTGAGGCCGGGTTGCAGGCTGAGACGGTGTTCCTGCCAAAAGAAGGAATACCGGGTAGGCCTATTGCAACCAAGGGACGCGGGGTAGAGCTGGGAAGTGCTTGGCCGGGAGGTACTGGATGCCGGGCAGTCAAAGTATATCAGTGGGTTCAACGAGTAGAGTAGCTCTCTTCGGTTCATCCTTTAAGTGGGCATGAGGCTGCTCCACCCAGAGGGGGAAGTTGGTGGAGCACTTGGAGGAGAAGGTGGAGCTGGAGGGTGATGGTGAAGCCCTCCAGGACTATGGAGGTGGAGCAGGGAGGAGGTAGAAGTAGGCCCAGGCTATGTAGGTGTGGGAGGAGGACGTCTAGCCAGGCTACGGAGTAGTAGTAGAGGTAGAAAGACAGTGAAGGAAGTGGGAACCGCGATGACGGTTTTAGTGAAAAATTCGCCGAAAATAACACCCACTGTTAACCAGGTCGCTTAGGGAGGTGAGGCGACGGGGAAGAGGAATAAAAAATAAAGATGGTGAGGGGAGGAGGGTGCTGGGGCAGAGGTTGATGAGTGAGGAGGGAGACTGATGGGGGAGGAGGGAGTTCAAGTTCAACATCGAAACATTCAAAGAAGAAGAAGAAGAAAGAAAAAGAAGAGGAAGAGGAGATATAGAAGAGGAGGAAGAAGAAGAAGAAGAAGAAGAAGAAGAAGAAGAAGAAGAAGAAGAAGAAGAGGAGATACAGAAGAGGAGGAGGAAGAAGAAGAAGAAGAAGAAGAAAGATCGACGGGCCTCTCTCTCTCTCTCTCTCTCTCTCTCTCTCTCTCTCTCTCTCTCTCTCTCTCTCTCTCTCTCTCTCTCTCTCTCTCTCTCTCAGAAGACGAAGATGGCGCCCATCACCACATCACAAGCCGGCTTACATGGCGCACTGGCTGGCCGCAGGCAATGGCGCGCTGGGTTGCTGCACTGGACGGTGCACTGGCTTGCTGTAATCGACGGTGCAGGTGACGCCGAGCTGTTCTCCAATGCATGAGGAGGGCTGCGAGTGTGGCAAACGGAAACGGGGTCGGCAGCCTTTTTGCATTTGAAATGTGGGGCCTACTGGCCCCAGCTTTTTTTTTATAAGTGGCAGCGGCCTCAGCGAGGCCGCAGGAGGCCAAAAAAGAAGAAGAGGAAACTGCCCGGCAAGACAGCATGAACGTGAGAACAGAGCACAATAATTCATCAATGAAAACAAGGCTGTTACACACACAATTTATAAGAAAGCAAAGAAGATAACAAAATCACCATGTCAAAGATCAATGTTTCAACAACCACGCGGCCACACCCTCGACGCGTTTTGTCTACCCCGCACTTAGACTCATCAGGAGGTCTAATCTAAGCATGCTGGCAAACCACTACTTGGGGCCATACCAATGCCTTGCCCCAAATCTCATCAACCCACACCTACCCTACAACCCATCCACGCGCATCAAAATTCCAGACTGGAGCCCGTCAAGGCAAACCGCATGATTATGACATGCCAAGCAAGTCGAAAGGTAGACTTACAAGTCCCAAAAAACGTCGAGAGAAGAAGATAGACACCCGCCATGTCAGCAAGACCGCTTTGAGTACCTGCAAAGACGTCCCACAAACAAGCACATACGAGCACGAGATAAAACAAACAATGGAGCTCCACCGCCTCTTCAGGAGCAGGAAGATCGCTGTCATTGATCGATCAGAATCGCCGTTGAGAGCACTCAGAAGTCCCGCCAGCGAACCCGCCCTACTGACATAGCCCAGTTGGAAATCCCCGCTGGCAGACACAGAATGATGCAGGTAAGGGCAACGAGGAAGACAAAGGCAGCAGGCTCTAAACACCGAAGGTGTTGCCTCCGCGTATGGTACAACCACCGAAGCATGTTCTCGTCACGAGATGAGAGGAGGCGGCAATCCGACATGTGATGTTTTTAACTTTCTAAGTTTCTACTCTAGAAACGTTGTGGCGGTCTAGGCAATAGATGTCCCACCGTATCAAGGCTCCATGTCCGTGGGAAGAAGTTCCCAGGCCGTAGGAGGCCACCCGGGCCATTTCCTGCCCAGTATTCTCGCTGGGGGGCTGGGGCTAACCAGGGGCCGGCTGGGCCAGTCCACCCACCTGTTCGACCAGGAGGCTCGCAGGCCGAGGAGGGCCCCCCGGTCGAACTGCGGACCAGAACTGCTTGCAGACAGTAGCGTCTGAACGGAATGAGACGGATAGCGTCTGAATGGAATGAGACAAATGCAATGTGTAGAGCTCAACTAATGTTACTGTGAAGACCGCAGATGTGATTTTGTGAAGCGAGGAAAAGGATGCAGACAACTCTAGTAAGCAGATGTCTCATCCTTGCAAACTCCATGTGGACAATTCTCTTGTGCAGAAAAGGCTTTCTTACCTGAAGGGCAGGAGGCAAATCCAAATGTGCGGAACCTGTATGTGAGGTTGAAGGGATGGCAGCACCTATGTTTCGTCAAGTGGGTAGATTGATACAGAGAGCCTTTGTTAAAAAATGGATGACTGATGCCATTCTCACAAAGCCCATGTTCAGAAAGCTTCGCTTTTACAACAAAATTGTGATCTTAACATAAGGGGAACAAGTAACAAACCCTTGCCAGCAGTTATATCCGGCTCTTTTTCTGTTTGGTATTAACGTTTTGCTATAGTTTTGAACTCTCAACTTGTGCATTAACGTCTTCAGGTTCGATCGTGTACCCAAAATGCAATGCATAGGGAAAGGCCTGTTTATCTTGCAGCCTCTCTTTCTTTTTCTTTCTTTCTTTCTTTCTTTCTTTTTTTTTTTTTTTCTTTTTTTCTTTTTTTTCTTTTTTATGAACAGAACCTGTCGGTTCTGGCTCCTGCCATTCTGGGGAGCAACAGTCCGGTTCCTATTCCCCCGGCGAGTCATAATTGATTACAAAAAGTACCCACCCATGCTCCTACCCATGATGGGTGGAGGGTCTGAGTGGGCGGCATTGATTACTTCCCTAAGGAAGGATATACCACCCCTTCCCCCTGCCTAACCTATTCTACGTCATCCAGCAGTTTAACTCGTAAGCCCGGCATATTCTTTCTTCTCAGACCTTTCCTTAAGAGCCTGCCATGTCATACCTGAATTTCTAGAAAACCGGTATTGTCTCCGCTGTTTACTATGTCCTTTCCTCTCAGATTACCCATAGTAACCTGTCATATAACTCATGAATATCAAGAAACGACTTTAGCACCCTCCTTGTATTGGAATGTGGTCCCTATTGTTCCCCTATGCCATAACTACATTTGTATTCCCTTGACTTGTGCCAGACGTAGCTTGAATCTCTCTTTCCGACAATGTTTTCCGAGTGTTATCTCCTTAAGCCCTAAACCCTACTTTCTTAAACCTTTAAACCTACCTGTATTCCTCTAGAGGTCTGCTTACTTTGCAGACTCGTTAATTTGTAGTATCATTACCTGAAATCTTCCTTTTCTTCTCATTGCCAATAGTCTCCAATGATCCTTTTCTGTGAACCCTTCCCTTTCATCTCATTGCCATTACTCTCCAAAGTTGCCTTGCTTCTTGCTATGGTCTGCCGTTTGCGATTCTGTCTTAACCTGTGATCCTTTGCTTGCACTTCACTCTTGACCTTCGCCTTTCTAAGCTTTGACTTCCCTTGTTCATGGTGAAGCCAGTTGCTGTGTCTGCCCCTGGTGTCCGTTTGCCATGTCTTGTTGGTCTTCTCTGAACCAACAGAAGATCAGCCTGTGCCCCTCCATTGTGGCTACTTTACCTTCAGCCAATACTTTGTTGTGGAATTTCTTGAGAATGTCCTTCGCCTTTTCAGGGTTAGCCGCTGCCTGTTTCTTGGCTCGCTGCCATTGAGCTGTAATGTCCGTCTGCAGCAGATTATGTAGTGTTGCTCTAGCTTGCATTCTAGTTGACGGGCTTTTACCTATCACTTGCCTCTCTTTCTGTTTATAGGAAATGGGAAATCAAGATTGACTGCTTAGATGCTCATGAATGCAGTGACCACAGACCTGTGCGAGTATTATGTCAACCTGATGACTGGTGGCTGACGGAATTGTCATGGAAAAGTTCACTCTTTCCTGCCAACAGAATGAACACACATCCACTGTTGTTTTCTCTTTCTTCTCCCCCAACCCTCCTTCAAGTTAACAATTGCCTGTTTTTACAGTGTATGTGAGGTATTTATGTTTTGCAAAAACTTAACTTGGTAAGCTGAGTTACACACAAGATCCAAGCACATCTGCTGGATTTTCTCTCCATTCCCTCGGTGACTGGTTGGTTACTTCCATCTCCTTGTCTTCTGTATTGGGACAATGCTCTGAACTGCATTCTGATTGGCCCTTTGCTTGTCTTGTCATATGTGAAGATACACAACATACCAGCCAATTGTGCTACCAGTTCTGGAAGCGGTGGCAAGTGTCTATTTTGTCCTTGATTATATCCTCAAATTGTATAGGTGAGTTCTCCCTGTATCATTTGAGAGAGGATCCTCTTCAAGGGTATACATTCGTGGAGTGTTTAGTGGTCACATTGGGTAGGCTAGTAGCAGCACACTGTGCACATGTAAAACCCTGCAGTGCATTTGGCACGCATATAGCCCATCCCTTTCTTTTTCCTTAAAAAAAAAAAAAAAACAGAACCGCTTGGTTCTGGCACCTACCATTCTGGGGAGCGACAGTCCGGTTCCTATTCCCCCGGCAACTTGCGGCAAGTCAATATGGATTACATGGGAAACTCACGCACGCTCCTCCCCATTATGGTCGGGAAGCCCGAGTGGACGGCATTGATTACTTCCCTGAGGAAGGATATACCACCCCTCACCCCTGCCTAAGTTAGCCTGTGCTGTTTAATTTGCCTGGCCGTTGCCAATCTGTCTGACCCTTGTCCCGCTCCTCTCAGCTGTGGTGCTGTCGGGTTGGTGTGTTATGCTAGAGCGGTCGGGAACGCCTGTGCGCCTCTTGAAATCTCTAACACCCTGAGCCTTGTTTGCCTTGTTTCAGACTAAAACTTTAAACCTTAAACCCTCAGCTGTAATGGTGTCTTGATTTGTCCGTTCCTAGTTCCTAAAAAATAAAACATGAGCTATTCTTGAGCCCTAAACCCTCCCAAAAAAAAGCATTCGAGAAAATCTGAGAAAAACTCTGAAAAACTTGAAAAAGTCGTTGTCAACTTGTCATGTAAAATTTATGTTGATGTTGTCTAAAGTTGCAAATTCCTATTCCTTTTCATATGTCACAACTCCTTTCTGGAGAGAATGATTCCTGTTCCTTTTCGATTGACAAGCCATACGAAAATTTTAAGAGTAGAGTATACCAACGTTGCAATCTTCCAGTCATTATGGCCAAGAACAGCACTGATTGCTCTGCACAGTGGAGGGTTGACTGCCTTGCCTGCCTTTCGTCGAGCTTTTCTGGATGAATACTTCGGCCCTTTTGCCTCTGATGGCTGTTGTCTTGAAACTTAACCCGGCACATTAGAGATATAGCGCATGACATCTTGCCCAGATAGTTGATGTTGTCTGAAGTTGGTTTTCTGCTCTCCATTTACCAAGTTGTGCCATTTGTTCCATTTTAACAAAAGTCCGTTCAAAACTGCCACCTCCTGTCCAGGAGCCACAATTTTTACAACCCGGTCTTAATCTTCTGTTCGTCCTGCAGAGTCTTCTGGATATTCTCCTTAGCACACCTCTGTTTGCATCTTATCTTGGCCTCGATTATGTGCGCGCGCGCGCGCGCGCACAAGAGAGAGAGAGAGAGAGAGGTTATTATCCCTTCTTCTTCTTCTTCCTTCTGTCACCATCTTCCACATTGAGAGAGAGAGAGAGAGAGAGAGAAAGGGAGGGACTTGGCACTATTGTTCTGGGAGTATTGCTCTCCGATCTGAGATCTGTGACTTGTTGTCTGGGGCGAGAGTTGGGAGCATGGCAACCGCGGACCCGGACCCGGACCCGGACATGTCTGGACCGAGGTCCAGACAGTTGTCTGGACTGGTCCAGACGTCCAATAATCCGCACAGGCACCGGACAACTGGACAGGACCGGATCTGGACCGTCCAGACCGGTACACCAGACAAAAAATGTCCGGACCAGAAAAGAAAAAAAAAAAAACATTTGTAATAAGCAGTACTAACCACAGCTTACTGTCTTTCACTATTCGCAACTTGACAGCTCAATAGAGTCAATGCCGTCACAGACGTTCACAAAGGCTCACACAACACTTGAAACCAGTTCTCAACAGACCAATCCCAAGTCACTTCAGAAAAGAGTACGGAAATCAGAAAAAAACAGAACTGTGAACTTTGAAGTTAGATTTTCTAATTCATATTCATTATTCATATGAAAATTGAAAGTTTAAACTGTTAAGTTATTCAGATCTGCGTAAGAAGTACTAAGAGCAGATCCGAGATCTCGTCAGGACCAGATCTAAGACGGGATCTCAGATCTGACCAAAATCATCTCTCTCTCTCTCTCTCTCTCTCTCTCTCTCTCTCTCTCTCTCTCTCTCTCTCTCTCTCTCTC